ATATCTGAATGATACCACTCTGTTTTTTTTTTTTTTTTCTCTTTTCTTTTTGTATTCTTTTGTGGTTTGAGTGTTATGTATTTGTGGTTATTCAAATGTAGTCCGTTTCATTCTTTCTTTTTTTTTCCTGTTTCGTTCACTTTTTGCATGATGTTAGACAACTGTCACAGGATTCCATTGTTAATATATATTGTATTTATTTGCCTAGAAAAAGTTGTTGTTATTATTATTACTAATATTATAATTATTTATTTGGTTTAGGTCTTTCGATATTGAGTGTTATTGTGTTTTCTATTTGATTTCTTCTTTTTTCTTGTTCTCTCTCTCTCTCTCTCTTATTTATTTATTTTTGGTGACGTTGATGTATGTATTGATTGATGGATTGCTATTCCTCCTCAGCCTGTAATATCCAACTGGCAGCGCAGAGAGGAAGTGCGGGAATTGCCCCTACCCAAAAGAAATAAAAAAAGTATTCTCATTCATATATATATATACATAAATAAAGAAAAAAAAGAGAAAGAGAAGCATATATTAGTGTTAACAGAAAAAAAAAAAGAGAGGGAAATGATGCAACGAAGAACGGCAGCAGGCTCCACATCTCTACAACTCTTATTACTATTAAGAGAACACACACACATGGCATTCTCTACACAACAACGTAACTGTAGTAGTAATAGTAATAGTAATAGTAGTAAAGCACCAACCCAACAACGATCATTTACTTACCGACCACATCAACTCTCGAATCGAAACAATACTACTACTACTACTCCTCTTAACTCTACTAATACTAATACTAATACTAATAATACTTCAACATCTTCACTAGACTCCTCACTATCGACGAACCCAACAACAACAACAACAATGGAGAAGACATCATCTGTGAAGGTGACGATTGACTCACTCGCACCGCCGTCTCCGTTAACGGCGGAAGTTGTTGTGGAGTATTTGGCCGCACTGCGTGGACTGCACCAGTCGCTGGGAATCGCACAAACAACTTCACGGATACGCTGGCAGGCACGAGATTTTCTCCTTCGTGGAATAACCCAACAATCATCCACAACTTCATCATCTTCTTCATCTTCTTCTTCTTTGAATAGAGAATTTAAGGGATCGTTGGAAATGACGGAAGAACTTGCATGTGCTCTTCTAGTTACTTGTGCACACTTTGAAGTATCGATTGTGGAATGTCCATATGGACTTTCTACTGTGAAACTTCTACAGGAAGTTTGGAAGAGACGACTAACGACCGTCTCTTCCTCCTCTTCAGAGCTATCGGAGGATACAAAGTGTAATAATAATAATAATAATAATAATAATAATAATAATAATAATAATAATAATAATAATAATACTAAAAACAAGAATAGTATTAGTTGTGAAGATGCTGTATTGCTTGGACGACTTGCGATGGCGTTGCTGGAGCAATTATCAAATCGTGTTCTTCACCACGCAGCGGAACATCAGACGATCTTAACACAATTATTATGTGAGACCTTCCTTCCTGCGGTGATGGTGTTATTACAAGATGATATGCTCTTTGCAGGGAATAGGAATGAAGGTAAAGAAAGGATGACTGTTGAAGAAGCAACAGCTTTTTCTGTTTTACTCTCAGCATTAACAAAAGCGGCAGTAACACAATGGGCAAGACGTGGAAATACAATAAATACACAATCCGTTATTTTATTTGGTTCACCATCCGTATGCACATCATCATCATTATCATCATCATTGGGAGTTGTACCACTTTCATTATCCACATTAGCAAAGAGATTAGAAATGTACGCGAATTGTTTCGTCACTTTACAAGCCAAAGAAACGGCATTACCAGTATTACGTTTCTGTACACTTAGTCAATGTATTCCAGTCTTTCTCGCTGCCCAACAACAAGAACAACAACAACAAGAAAAAGAAAAAGAAGAGAAAGAAAATAAGAGAGGCGATCATATGGAAAGAGATCATCACATGATGTCCTCATTAATAACATCCATCACCACTATTCTTCAGACCGCAGTTGGTCCTGCGGATTATGTTGTTTCCCATCAAGTAGCGAATATCGCATCTATTTACGCACGCGTATTGTGTTTTCATCCAATAATGAAAGAAAATAATAAAACTATCATATCTTCTTCTTTTTCTTCATCATGGATGATATTTGAACATCTTATGATGGGAATACAGGAACAAATGGTGTATCATGTAGAAAGCCTCTCACCATGTACAGTGATGCTGCAGATTTGTGAACGCGTCACTCCATTTGCGAGAAAATATCTTTTCTCTGATCTTGCGGCTTTATTAAGTGCCTTGACAAGAATTTACCGAATTGTATGTAAACAACACAATACACAATGGTTGCAGAGTAGGAATTCTATAAACACACAACATGTGAAGAGTTCAAAGAAGGAATTAACGGATTCTTCTAAAGGAACGACACCCAAACGATTTGAACGGCGTCGTGCTCATACTACTACTAATACGAGTAAAGTTACTATTTCACAAACAACAACAACAACAACAACTTTAACAAGGGAAAAGAGTAGTGATATAACTTCTGTGGAATCCTCATTATCATCTTTACCAACAAAATCCAGTTTTATAGTAAGTAATGAGGATATTGCAGAGATTGAGGGAGAATTGGAGGTTTTATTAGATGCTTGTGTAGTAGTGATTGAACGGCATATGCCAACAACATGTAGAAGTCGAGGGGTACTTGTTGCGCAACAGGGAAATGAGAGGATGAATAATAATAATAATAATAATAATAATAATAATAATAATAATAATAATAATAATAATAATCATCATCATACTAATAATACTGTTGAGAATGGAGACATAAAGAAAGATTCTACCTTGGCGCTTACAAAAGTTGGAGCTTCACAGGCAAAGGCACTTGGTGGAAAAAGTCGTCTTTTAAAGAAATCCATAGCATGTAGAGAACTTGTTATGATTGCGGAAAGTATTCATGCACTTAGTTGGAGACCTTTTATGGCCTTTCAAGAAAGATTACTGGTTGCCCTCTCTTCAGAGATTGGACAAGTGGAATTAAACTCTCAACAATATGTTCATCTTATTCGTTTACTCCTCCGTTCACCTCCTGCAATTCCTTCTGTTATTTTTCACGCGGTTGGGGATAGACTTAAACGTCTCATTCATGCAGAGGCTGTTACTATAGAAGCAGCACGAACAGCCCTCTTAACAACAACAGCAAGATCATCTATTAATAATAATAATAATAATAATAATAATAATAATAATAATAATAATAGTGAGAGTGTGGATAATAGAGTAAATGGAGATGAGAAGGGTGTGTTGGCTGCGGCTCATGTACGTTCTTTACAAGATAAACCTCTTTCTCTATTAGATGCATGTGGTGTAGTCTTTACTTTTACACAGAAAATGAAAGGGAGTTCACTTCCTTTATTATATGATCTTCTTATACGTTGTGGTTATCGTATTTTATGCAGTTGTTCTTCCTTCACAGAGTGTCAAGAGAAACATACAATAATGGCATTAATGATGTTTGTAGCGAGTGCAACTTATGTGATCCATCATGCAGTTATAAAGATATCAGAAGATCGTGGGCTTCGATTTATTTCAGCCTGTAGAGATCATGCAGCGGGATTATTAGTAACATCTATACAAGAGGGAACGAAGAAAGATATCATAACAGAATCAACAACAACAATAATAAGAGGAGAAGGAAGAAAAAGAAGTGGAAAGGAATGGTCTGGTGAGGCATTTGGGTTTTCTTCTCTTCGAGATATAGCTTATGCATGTATGATGATAGAGCCATACACATTACAGAGTAATGGAAATGATATCAGATGTATTTATCAACATCTGCGGGATTCATATATTTTGTATACATCCCAATGTGATAGTCTTGAAGTGGCCCAATTTACCATGGAACTTCTCGCCGTAACTTCATTGGAAAAACTATCCACTACTACTACTACTAATGATAATAATAATAATGGTGATAATAATAATAGTGATAATAATAATAATAAAACTAATATTACGTCGTTATTATTATCATTGCAGTTGCCCCTGTGGATGATTGCCCCATTGCAATTACGTGAACGCTGCGTGGGAAATCGCCGACTTCTCACCTCATCATTTCTTCCACTTCTCTGCAGTACTCCCACAACGATAAATGCGGATGTGGATCACTTTCTAGAATTAATCCGCAGGCATTGCCGTACCTTTGCCACTCTCATCATCACACTATTACTACTCCGCTGTATACATGCATCCACCCCACTAATGAATAGTAAAGCCGTGCGAGAAGTGCTATTGCGTAAAGTAACTCAACTCACTCGTCGAACGGCTCATCCAATGGAATTATTTTATTTCTTTGAGATGTATGGAAATAATACAGACGTGGTATCGGCGTGTGTGAGTGAATTAGTGCCAACGGCGGTGTGTTTTTCAGCGAAAAATGCCTTTGTGCCTGTTGTACTTATTAACGCCGCTGTTCGTGCTGTTCGTCAATTGCCATCTCGTGAATTAATTCAACGTTGGTTTGCGGTGATGTCTCCACTAATTATTTCTGCCGTGATGTATTCTCGTGAGCCGCTGGATATTGTATTGGATTTATTAGAATGGATTGGAAGTGATGATCCACAGTTAATACAATCCATTGTTCGTTCCTCTGCGGCTTTGCAGGCTATTCACGAGACTTGTAGTTTTACTATTTCCGGTTTAACACTTCTGCGATTACTGTTAATGCTGCAAGGGGGAAGTCAATCCAATACAACAATGCGTCGATTACACAGAGCCGCAGTGAAATTACTTCAGCTCAGTCATGTGCATATACCAATACAGCAATTAGCTCAGACAATGTTATTACCATCTCTACAGGGAACCACACTGGCGAGACGGTTAACACGACTTTTTATTTTTCGTATGGAATGTTTACTTGGGTCAACTAGACGAGAACGACCCACACGTTTATTAGAGACTACTACTACTACTACTACTACTACTACTATTATTATTAAAGAAGAAGAAGAAGAAGAAGAAAGGAATGTGAAGTTAAATTCAAAAAGAGAAGAAGAAAAAGAAGAGTGGGATAAGTCCTTAGATGGATTAGAGTTGGAACATTGGTTGACATTACTACGCTATTCATCCTCAGGAACACCGTCTTCACATCGTTTGCTTGTGGAGATTAAAGCCGATTTGGCGGATAAGGCACGTCGAAGAGGAAAATTAATTGAATCATCATCTCATGTGGATGATCAAGGAAATAACTTCACTATGGAAGAATATCAAGAGAGTAGAGAAAAGAAGAGTGATATCACTTCTACTACTTCTTCTTTTTCTTTTTCTTATCGTGGATTGGCAATTGTTTATGCCTTCTCTGAACAGAGAATACTTTCTTTACATCATTCACTTGGAACCTTTCCTTTTATTCGTTTTGTTTCCGCATTACTGCGGCAAACGGCACTAGTGGGATCTCTTCAATCATCCTCCTATATACTATCTAAATGTATATGGATGTATGATGGGAGTTTATCTCCATTATCACATGAACGTGTACAGCCATTTGTGCGATTAGCCAATCAATTAGTAGAAGAAATGTCTACAGATTTAAATGGATTTGTACGGCGTGAAGAAGAGAAACAACAAAAACAAAAACAAAAACAAGAAGAAGAAGAAAAACGGAGTGAAGTGAAGAAACGTACAAAAAGAGAAGTTATGATAGATGTGGAAGCTATTTTGGAGTATATACAATTACTAGATCTCTATAATCCACAATCATATGAAGAACGACTTCTCTTAACAGAACAACAAAAAGAAAAAGAAAAAGAAGAAGATATAGAAAATAATAGTGAAATGGATGTGTTTACAGATGATGTGGGAATGCCACATCGTTATCTCTATCGTTTATTAATATTATTAACACAACACTGGGGTGAACAAACAGGAATAATCAACACAAATACAATTCCTATTCGTATGTGTAATATATCTTCTCTTTTTAATTACTGCGCCACATCATCAGTGGAATCTCTTTCCTCTTATACACCATATACACCCTTCTCTGATGTGAAGAGTCATTCTCCTTCTAATGCGATTCATTATTCTTCCATGATGGATATATTTGGTTCTGATAAACCACTCATCACAGATGTATGGATTCCAATTAATACAGTCTGTACACATCGGTATAGAATAGAACAAAGTGTCAAGACACGACTCTTTACGGCATTAATGCGATGTTTACTACGTGAGGATAATACTACTACTAATATGAATAATAATAATAATAATAATAATATTAATATATCATCTACTGCTGCTGCTGCGGCTACGAGAGCACGATTAGCAACTCTAGGCCCACGTGATTTGGCTTGTGTGGTACAGGCCTGTGCCCAACATTGGAAGAATACTAATATTACTAATACTATTACTATGAATACTATTAATACTAATGATAATAATATTAATAATAATAGTAATAATAATAGTAATATTAATATTAATAGTAATAGTAGAAATACAGCTGCAGCTGCAGTTGTGGGAATAGCGGTGGAGCTTCTCACGGATTTACTCCCGAGTACAACCGCCGAAGATCTACACGATGTCGTTATGTCCCTTCTCCCATTATTACCCAATCCCCATTCACAATCACAATCACAAGAAAAAGAAGAAAAAGAAAAAGAGAAGAAACTACCTAATACTACTAATACTATCACTATGAATATCACTACATCTATGCAGGAGATAAATTTTGTGGAAGTCCGACGTCTTCTTGCACATGTGGCGGTAGTGATGGGAAATGACACGGAGCGATTTCCACTGCCGTTACTTTTCGCAATTCTGCAGAGACTACACGTACCGCATGGATTGGTTTCCACCGCATCTGCACAGCGAATGTTGGCGAGTCTACACGCATCTGAAAACACTACGGAAGAACAGTCTTCACAATCTTCACAAAAACAACAAAGAGAAGAAGAAGAAGAAGAAAATGATGATGAAGTGATGATGATGGGAAGAATAGAGGAGACGGCGGTGAGTAGCCGGGGATTTTATGCGGCGACAGTGGCGCTTCTCCGGGAAATAGTGGCAACCTGCAATACCACTTCTTCTACATCCTTTACAGAGTAAACTGGTTCTGTTTGTGTGTGCATGCCTAGTGAAGGGAAATGAACTATATATATATATATATATATAACTATGAATGGATGAGAATAAACGAAGGGGGTAGATATCATCAATGGGATGAATCTTTCTTCTTGTTGTTATTTTCTTTTTTTTTTCACAGAGAAAGAAACGGTAATCATAGGGTACACTGGTGTGTTTCTCTCTCCCAGTGTTTATCTCTATTGATAAGAGAGAGATACACTTATTCACATCACAATACATTGCTGGATCACAATATTCACAGAAATTTAATATGGAAAGGAAACTATATATATATCTAAATTATTTCTTTCTTATTGATGTGTATTTACCTGTTTTTAGAAGAAAATAAAAGTCGAAAATGTACTCTTGCTTCTTTTCTTTTCTTCTTTTCCTTCTGACTGTATATATATATTATATATATATATATATATATATATTATATGAATTTAGGGTAATTTGTACATTCAAAAGAAACCAAAAAGGATATCCATCACTAGTACTACTTTAGTTTATATATATTCTCTCTCTCTCTCTCTCTATAAAGAGAGAGATTTCACATGCGGACCAACACAGAAAATAATGATGAAAAAGAACATCATCTCTCCACACTATCACCATACAAGCGGGCAGAGTATGAGTGTGTGAGTGGTATCACTACACTACGGCAGGCACTTCACAACGTCACCCAACTGGAGAGTCAAACTAATAATAATAACTATAATAATAATAATATTTATAGTAATAGTAATAAGAATAAAAAGAAGAGTAATAATAATAATAATAATGAGGATAATATGATGGAATTGATTAGGGCACGACAGTCTGCACGGTATGCACATCAGCAATTAGACAAACTCGCAAAAGACGCCCAACGTGCGGCCCGTCGTGCGAATAATATTTACGATGCGGATGTGAAGGAATTATTACATCACGTCGATACAGCCAAGCGGTGGTATCGGGAGTGTTTCCGCGTAGTTCCCGCATATGAACAAGAAGAAGAAGAAAGAAATATATCTACACAGGCTGTAGGGATAACAGATCTCAGTAGACCACTTCTCCAGGGGAATGGTAAGAGTAATGATTATTATCCTTATAATAATAATAATAATAATAATAATAATAATAATAATAATAATAATAATAATAATCTGCAGACTTCATCCTTCTCTCTTCATGAGGATAAGGAATTTCAAAGCTACGCCGCACAAGTGCAGGAGAACTCGGAACTAGCAGATGCCGCACTGGATCGTATTGCCAACGGTATTGTGCGATTGCAGGATAATGCGATTCAACTCAGTAGTGAACTGCACACACAGGAAACATTATTGTATGAAGTGGAACGGAAAGTAGATTTGACGACGGTGAAATTAAGTGGACTTAATGCGAAACTGCGGAAGGCATTAAAGAGTGTTAGACGGAGTGATTGTTGTATGTATGTGTTTTGCTTTTTCCTGCTAGTAGCAGTGATTGTGGTTATTATTGTTTTGATTAAACAATAATGATAATAATAAGTGAAAGAGTGTATTTTAGAATTCCTCTTAATGACATTTTATTTTAATAATAATAATAATAATAAAAAAAAATGAATAAAACGAACAATTCCCTACCGATACTATATAAATAATCAGTCTGTGCATACTTATATATATATATGCATCTATTTGCGAGTGTATTTATACCTATATTGCTATAAAAGAAACATTCCCCTCCCCTTTCTTCTCCTCTTTCTATGAGAACAACAACAACAACAACAACAACAAGAGGAACAAACTCTTTGAAAGAATTCTTTCAAATAAATAAATAAATAAAAATAGTTTATATATATATATATATATATATATATATGAGTTAACTTTGATGTTAAATATCTTTTCTTTTTTTTTTCTCTCTTTTCTTCTTCTTTCATTTACAGTCAAGCAAGGAGATCGAGCCAGCCTCCCCTCCCTCCATTCCTCTCTTCAAAAAAAGGAAAAGGAAAAACAAAAAAAAGAAAAAAGTCAGTGAAAAAAGATACATAAAGAAGAACAAAATAAACAAAGAAAATAGAAAAAAAAGGATCAAAAGGAATACACCCATACAAAAAAGAAAAAAAGGAAAGAAAAAGAAAGAAAAAAGAAAAATCAGCACAGGGAAGGAAGGAAGATAGTCTAGACGTACAATCTAAAGTTGCACACGGACGTTTAAACATCTCTCTCTCTCTTTTATTTATTTATTTTTACTTTGCTTCTCCCAGAAAAAGGTTGGAATAACAGTAAACTCTGTGGAGGTGAAAGGTGAGAAAGAAAACAAAAAAAAAAAAAGTATTTGAACAGGAGATATTCAAACAAACCAATAGAGCAGTGATCATTTAAAAACAAGAAAAACAACAAAAAGGCAAAGCGAAACAAAGCAAAGCAAAACAATAAAAAAAGAGAAAAGAAGCACAAATAGAAAAAAAAAAAAGAAAGGAAGAAAAGAAATTATTTTATTTGTTTTTTTCTTTTCTTTCTTCTTCAATTATATATTCACGTTATCACGGTGGTTCTGGCGTTTCTTATTCTCTCTATCATTACACTTCCTATTACTATTACTACTACTATTGCTACTACTGCCAGTAGGCCCACACCCTTTTATTTCTTCTCTTATCGACGACCAACAAACAAAAACAACAAAAACAAAAACAAAAAAAAAAAATGATCTCCAGCATTGGTGGATTTCTCAATCTCAACAATCTCGACATGACGAGCAATGCCAACGATGTCATTGTGGTTCGTCACCCCAGTGGACATTTATACAGCACTCCATTTAATGTTCGTTTTGGAAAAGTAAAGGTGTTGAGCCCAAGTGATAAAGTTGTGCATGTGGAGGTGAATGGTGTGCAGACAAATGCGGTGATGAAGATGGGCCCTGATGGAAAGGCATTTTGGTTGAAACTCACACACCGCTCGGAGTGTGATCATGGAAGACCGGAATCACCTATTATGATCACCGTCAACGATAGTGAAATTAATATGAATAGTAACCCTGTGGGTAATCAAAACAAGAATACTACTACTACTAATAATACTAATACTACTGGTAATAGTCAGAATAGTACTGGAGAAGAAAAGGTAGTATCTTCTCATGAACTACCATTAAAGCTTCCTCAGTCAGTAAAAGAGGTGGAAAAAAAGACAAAGGGAAAAGAAGTAGAAAAAACAACATCTATGCATAAAGAAGGAGATGAAGTTGCGGGTGATGAAAATCTTTTGACAAAGGAGGTTAGTGTAAGAGAAGTACGTGATAGTCATCGTAAACGTAATTCTTTAAGAAAATCTTCTGTGCCAAATCAAACCATTTTACAACTTATTACAGATTTGGATGGGATAATTAAACAAATGCAAGAACATCAAGAGAAAATTAAAGATGGTAAGGATGATGATAAACCCCATGTGGGAGAAACAATACCATCTGTAGAAGAAAACCAGGATGAATATACGTCTAAATTAGTTAGACTGCAAGACCTCACGAAGGAGTTAAACCTTGCATTAAGTCAATTAAATGTAAATCCTGTTGCTGCGGATGCCGCTGTGGCTTCTGTACCTATTAGGTGTGGTGGAAAGATTGAAGAAGAGCATGTTTCTTTCTCAGCTTTTCCACTACAGTCACCAACAACAAACACAACAACAACAACAGACACAACTTCAACTACAACAGCAATACCAATCAGCACAGAAACAACAAAAGATGATGGGGAAAAAGTCTGCAAAGAAAAAGATGAATTATTAAATACAATTAAAGAACATTTGGTAGAAGCTACTGCGGCTTTACGAGCAGCTAAAGCCGTTATAACCGTAGAAGCTCTTGCCTTACCAGAGAATAGATCAATTCCCACAGTGGCGAGTTCTGTAGCAAGTGATGATGCCTTTGACTCTCATGATGATCATTATTTATTTGAAGATCCTTTAGGTACAGAGATGTATGACTCGGATGAGTTTGTCTCTCCTACGGAAGTTCCAGATAATATATTATCAACTACACATGGAGTGGCCTCTTCTGGTCTTGTTCAACTTCCTTCTTCTTTTGCTGATGCCACTTCTACTAGTATTGCGGATACTACTGCTGCTGTTGATACTACTGCTGCTACTACTACTACTATGAATACAAATAAGAATACTACTACTACTACTACTACGGATGAACCGCCTCTCATCACTACACTGTTGCCAGTTGGTGGTAGTAGTGTTCCTGGTGGACCGAACTCCACACCGAGAGTCTCTATTACGATGGGGGATGAGTCCATAAGCGTTGATGATGCCATCTACAACTACAGTAACAACGATAGCAGCAATAGAAGTAGTAGTTTCAGCAGTGCGAGCAGTAGTGATGGTTGTACGGCGTACCTCGCAAGTACATTAGTTCCCACGGAAGCGGATTTATTACGACTAAACTTAGTGGAAGGACATAATCGTATTCGGTACATCACACACAGTTCATTACGTGGAGAAGTGGCGGTAGAAGCAAATGTATACTTGTGGGATAGCACGGATCGCCTTGTTGTGAGTGATGTGGATGGTACAGTAACGAAGAGTGATGTTTGGGGTCATCTTATGCCACTTATTGGACGTGATTGGACTCATCCCGGTATTTGTTCTCTCTATAGTAAGATTGAACAGAATGGATATAAGTTTGTTTACCTCACCGCACGTAGTTTATCACAAATTAGTATGACACGTAATTTTCTCTGGAAAGTGGAACAAAATGGTTCTCGATTACCGAAAGGACCAGTATTAACAACACCGCAACGTTTTTTTACCGCTCTTACACAGGAAGTATCTAAGAAATCACATTTATTTAAAACGGCATGTTTAAAACAAGTTTTGGATGCTTTTCCATCACAGTGTAAACCCTTTTACGCTGGTTTTGGTAATCGAATTAGTGATGTATGGAGTTACGCCGCTACTCAGATTCCAAAACATAAAATATTTATTATTGAACCAGATAGTGTATTGGAGGTACATAATGTGAAAAGAACCTATAATGATCTTGCAGGAATAGTAGATGTCGTTTTCCCACCCATTGTAAAACGAAAAGTACGATCTAGGCGAATAACGAAAGGCGTAGTAAATAATAATAATAATAATAATAATAATAATAATAATAATAATAATAATTCCAATCCCTCTGCTGTCTCACCGGTGAGTCATGATGCTGGAAGTAATAGTTCTTTTGGTAATGGGAGTGGTATTATGGTAACGACATCCCCTGCTCTCTTTTCATTAGAAGAGGCGGAATCCCCATGTAAACAGGCGGTGAGTGAAGAACAGCAGTGTCCACTGGGATCTAGTGGGAATACAGGCGAGGGATCCTCCTCCTCATGTGTGGAATTAGATATGGAGAGAAAACCCAATTTAACCACATCTACTTCAAGATATGAAGATAGTATGGATGTTGCTGTGGATCAGGAGTATGATTCGTATCTCTACTGGCGTGTGGAACCATCCGCTCTCATCTCAACATCAAAGACGGGAAAACAGAATAATAATAATAATAATAATAATAATAATAATAATAATAATAAGGAAGGGAAGATGACAGAGGAAAAGCAAAAGAAACCAACACAGCAACAAGGACTTTTAAATAAGTGGTTGAATTTTAATCTTGGGTTAACGCCTGCTAGTGATAATAATAATAATAATAATAATAATAATAATAATAATAATAATAATAATAATAATAATAATAATAATAATAGTGGAGGTGGTGGAAATAAACCGCAAGAGAGTGGTGGAAAGAAAACAGCCGCAGCTGCTGTGGGAGGGACAACACCATCGGTTGGTAGTGATTCCCTCAACGCCAGTGGATTAACACAAACTTCAGGAAATGCACCCGATTGCAGTTTAGTTGCGAGTACAAATGCCGATACCCCAATGATGCCAACAACAACAACAACAACTCATACAGTGACGATTACTAGTGAGAAAAAGATACCGCCGACTGTTGGAGGAACAAATTCAAATACGGTAGAAGCCACAAAAGGTAAAACTCCTGGATGTGAAGTTGTTGAGATATCATCTCTGGCTACTACACCTACTAATACTGCTGCTGCTGGGAATACTGGTAAGAATTCAAGTGTGAATGGGAAAGAAGGATCATCACGTAGTTGGTTATTTTGGAAATCCACCAGTAGTTCGTTTAACAATGGAGCTGGAGAGTCTACATCTGCGGTGGGAGGGGAAACTATGAAGAGGGAAAAGAATACCGAAACGACAGCCAACACAACGGCTTTACCACAAGTTAAATCTCCTGAAAAAGGAAAGTAGACCGTCCTCTCTCTTTCTTTCTTTCTCTCTTGATATCTCTGTGCTAGTGTTGGGTTTTTTTTCTTTTTTCTTTTTGAATTGTTTTTGATATGTGTTTTGACTTCATTTATGAAGTATATTATTATGTACATAAAAAATATACGTACATTTACATGGACATCGCATGATCATACAAAGAAGGAAAGAGAGAAAGAAAGGGAGAATCAACCATATGTTACTACAGTGTCTTCAGTAACAGGAAAAAAAAAAGAAAATATAATAGGAATGGATAATGAGAAGAAGAGAGAAAAAAACAAAGAAAGTGGTTTATTGACTTTTTCTTTTTTTTTTTTCTCTCTTGTTTTCTTAGTTATATTATTCCAATCACGAATTGGAATGATAATTGATATTCCATTCTGTTTCTTTTTTTTTTTCTTTTCTCTTTTTTTTTTCGCTCTTCATATTCATGTATTGGATTACCACGTCTTTCGATGCGTTTCGTTCTTTGTTTTTTTATTGTGATTATTGTTTGCTGTTTGATTCTAATTTCTTCTCTCTCTTTTTGCTTTTATTCCATCCTTTGAGAAAGAAAAAAAAAAGATTGTGTGTTTCCTCACATTCTGTGGTATTGAGTGTTATCTGCCTCTCTCTCTCTCTCTC